CCTAGTTCTGTCTGAAATTCGCCTGCGGGTATACTGAGACATCTTTGTATCTCGTCAGACCAGCTAAATGTTGAATTATTCACTGTCAAGATGAAACAGTCGATTGTTTATTGGCTGTAAAATTTGTGGCGTTTTTTTCTACAAGATGTTAAATTTTCCGCATTTATACCGCATTTGTGTCATCCTGATTTAATCGGCTCATGCGTTGGTGTGGTCAGACGAGATGAAAGAATCTGTGGGTGTGCTACTTTGAGTCTATTGCAGACTCAATCTCGACACGGATCGACAAAGATTATTTTGTTGGCTTCTCAAAATTGAGTGTTGTTAATTTAGTTTCGGTTCGACGGTTAGATGGCTACTGATCTTTCCGCTAGGGACACCGATTACAGATCTAATTAACTTGTGCTAGATTCTCCAGACAGCCCTGTATACAGCCAAACCTACAGCCAACGCCAACCACCGTGTCACCGACAATACACCGACGATGTGGTCACCCAGGCCAACCTGTAGTAAGCAGGTAAGTAGCGTATTACGAAATGTACCCCAAGGCCCATAAAAAATACAAAACAACCCCAAAAGAGCTGTCACAACAACTTTCGTCATCAACAGAAGCAATGCTGAGGTATCAACGTCCGTCCCGAAAATAACTCGGCGCAACAAAATATCAGGCCTCATGAAAATGCGGGCGTGGGTGCTGAACATGAAGTCTGGTGGGAGCGGAAAGGAATGAAATGGAAGAGGTCATGAAAAGATAACGCCTAAACAGTTTCCGCCAAATGGCTCAAACAGCAGTTGCCAGATGCCATTGATTTGGAGCCTACAACTCACGTAGAACCCTGGCCGGTGATCGTGTAACCCCCTACAGTTTTGGTGTTCATTGCTGCACATGTTCCGCCAAGCACCACCGAGCTCTTGGTCAGGATGATATCCCTTCCGCATTGCCCAATTATTCGATTGAAGTCCTAGGTCCGCGCTTGCTTGATCTGTTCGCCTGAAGTTTGGAAGATGAGAATGTCTCAGAACTAGGAATATTTGGTGAGTGGATTTTTTCAGGGAAGGGTCTCTTGATGAGTTTTCTAACAACCGGGGATTAGCGTGACTCCGTTCTTAACGAGGCTGTCGGGGTAGGTTGTGTTTCATCATCTTATGGTGGCTCTTAAAGCACCGACTTAAGAACAGGAAGAGTGATCTCGGCCTCGTGAGGGTTGTGCTGACCGAAACTTTACACTCTATCACGTGTTATAACAACGCCACGCGCAAAAGCGGCCTACAATTTCAGTACACCTTGATTCTCATTACGCATTTAACTCAGTTGGCCTGCTCGTCCTCTTTTAAACACTTACACAGCAAGACATGCTCTAAAAGTTTGTGAACACTGTGCGTTCTTTGTATTCTCAGACATCCGGACCTGCGGATTTAACCAGGGGGCTTTCCAAAAGTCGCCATACTTAAAGCGATGTCCGTCAGGAGTGCTTACTATCTCCATTCCTATTTAATTTTGTGATCACTGAGCTAAAGAGAGGAACGCTCGAAGGTCTTTAAAACCCCATGTTAAAATGGCCCGTGAAGAAAACCTAGTTGATCTGAAACATGCAGACGTTATTGGTTTCGTCTTTGAAGAGGTAAAGAAGGGGTAGACGTTTTTGGGATGAACTGAACAAAGTCATTGCTTTCATTTGCGACTGTTAGGCTGTGTAACGGATGCATTCTTCAGACCATTTGTCCAGCACAGGAAGCTGCGTTGGTTAGGCCAGGTATCGCTATGCGAAACAATCGATTCCCCAAGGGAGTGCTGTATTCCGTGACTACTGCGGAAGTAGGGAGGTAGACAACACTTGACCCGACAGAAGGTTATGAAAGAGGTTGGCAAAAGCCTGGGTGATATTGCGTGACTCACCTACCAGGATGGGGATCGTATAGTTTCCACTGTGCTTGGTTGGAGACGCTAATCGGTGTCAATTGTGCTCTCGTTTTGATTTTCTATCCAAATAGGCTGAATGAGTGTCTGGAGGCGTTGGCACCTAGGAATGATTATTATAAGCTAGCACCAAGTAGAATCCCAACCCACGTTTTCTCCTCTTCCGCAGAATAGGCTTCAAAAATGAATGGTAGTTGTACGGCAGCGAAGCATCAGTGTTAATCCCTGATGTCAAACTGTCGATAATAATCATGACAGTTTTGACGACCTGACGGAACGGCTCTACCGCTTATGAGCAATCTTCCTCTCCGTTGAATCCACAGGAGACGGTCCCCCACTGATGATGTGTCAAGTGTGCTATCATCTTCAGCAATAAAGCCTTACTTTGCGGTAAGATAAGTAATTATCCTTCGTGCTATCAAAGTGGATCATATATTGTGGTGCCTACAAATGGCTTCTCTCACTTTGGGGGTTTCTTGGTTTGGATTTTAAGCCACTTTTCGGCGTAAAACACTCCAGTTCTCTGATGACGTTCAAGTTGAGGTGGTTTGTTTGCTTTCTTCGGTTGGAACAATACAATGGATCATCAATCATGTTTCAAACAATGGGGATCGCAGACGTCATAAATCAACGTGCGTCAGAAATACGAGGGGCAAATGACGTACAAAAAGAGCTAGTTTCGAAAGATTTCCAGTGATTGATAGTTTAAGCCAAAAAATTAAAATGAATTGTACTATTGGCGGAAAATGACGCTGTGTAAAGAGGCAACCCCTGGTTTTATTTATCATGGTTGGGAAACCAAAATTAGTGTTTTCGTCAGCATTTGATTACCCGAAATGAATACCGTTGGTGCCCTACTATGAACTACGAGGAAATTAACGCTCAAATTGCCGTGGATTTTTTTTTCGGACACTCACTATTCCCGAAGAGCCGGAAGCGACGTTCAGAGGTTTTGCCATTTTGGCGAAGATTGAAATAGCCTAAACGACCACACTGCTTTGGAAACCATTTGGAAATTGAAGTGAAACACCTGTATAAAACTACCAAACTGGGAAACGCAGTCTGTTCCTGGAGGCTGAGAAGCAGTGCGTGGCTGCTTTAACCTGATTGGGTGATATCAGCAGCGGATACCTCAGAAACCCCGACTACATATTTCGAAGCGCAAGCTCCTAGTTCAGAAGCTCAACTACTGGGCCACTGCCAGCCGATAGAAGTCTAAGTAAGTGGGCTTTAGACAGGATATAGCACCGTTTAGCCTTCAGTCACAGGACCAACACCGCATATGGAGTTTTTACTCATCGCGTGAATTGCGATCTTCCTCCGAGCCAAATAACTGTTGCTGAGGTTTTGGGGAATGTTTACAATTTGTAAAAGGATCGTTGTCTTGATTGTAGTCACTGTTTGCTGACATGCCTAAAAAGAACTGGACAGTTGATTTAAACTAGTTGCAAATCATCGACACCAGCCAATTCAGACAGCAGCAATCCCGCAAACTACCGTGTCGTGCGACCGTCAGGAGTCCAATCTGACAGCCCGTATCAACATCTAGTGTACTCAAACCCGGGCTTGATTATTCAAAATGATCCCGCCGAAATATAACAAGAAGGTAGATTAAAACTCCTAAGACAGCATTAGGATCAGCAGTGTTTGAGATGCGTTGATGTGGCGGGCGACTTGGTCTCAGCTTTGAGACCATCGGTCAGTCGAATTGTCAGGCGACCCAACTAGTGAGACAGCTATTTCGATGGACAATCGCCAAACTTTTATTCGTTCTGTCAATGTACATTTCGCAGCGGTTGCAGCTGATCTGATACACAGTGTGCGATCAGAAGAGATTGTTCTCAAATTTCTGGTTGATTCGTCTCGTTGATTACAGACTGTTGCCTGGATTTCAAAATCGTTGATTACAGACTGTTGCCTGGGATGGATTTCAAAATGAATTATTTGAAGTGAGTATTTACCCAGATGATGACCTCACCTAAAATGAAACCTGAAAGAAACTTCCCCTCTTGTGAATTAATTGAGCTTTCGATTCGGTCTTGATCGGCTGCGAAAGTCGATATTTTTCCCTGAGTGGTCGTTTCATGCCAGAGTTCGGTCTAAATAAGAATAACTAAATAACCGAGGATCCCACAAGATTATTGATTACGAGACGCCAAAAATTTGGCGTAAACTTTTTATGTAGATGTGTGGGCTCTTAGAGTGGGTATCGGTTGTCGAAAACCAAAATGACTTTCAAATATCGCTCGTCTACGCTTATTGATAAAATCAAGAAGCTCTCTTGTAATCACTCCAATAAGACGTTTCCAGTTAGATGCATTAACTGGCTGTCCATTTCCATATCAGTGAGGTTTCGAAACCCGGCCATAGAATTCATTGCGAATATTTTCATTATACCAAAAGATCAGCTGTCTTAATTGTCATAAAGGAACATCTGTGGCAGTTTTGTGCGTGGTGCACAACTCGAAAACATATTCCGCAACCTGACGCGGAGAGGACTTTACAAAAACGGCTGACACATACGGGATTTAGTGCTTGTGAGCGTGCTTCATTCTACACCTTAAACCCACTTCTACACTCATTTTCAAGTACCAACTCAATAGTTCCAGTTCATCCTTTTCGAACCAAAGTCAGTGAGTTGAGCCTTTCTTATCTATTCTCCTGAGCTTCTAATCTCACCTATTCAACATTGTTAGATCTTTTGCAAGATTATTGTAAACAGATTTCATAGAAGCACTTATATGAGAAGTTCTAAACAATTCACAAGTTCTCTTGAACGAGTGAATGAACAGGAGGCTTCAAAGCCTTAAGCAACTACTCAGATGGATTCCAACTAGTAATGTGGTGAAATATTGGTAGCTCGGGTGAGTTTATTGGTTGTTGATCAGGTGGCTGTTGATCTGTTCGCCGAGCTTGGCAATCGACTTGCAAACGTTTCGTCACCATACGTGGAGACATCACCAGTGCGCAGTTGGGTGGGTACGTCTTCCTTGCCTGCGTGTGTTTATATAGCAATCAAAAACTATCTGTTATATTCTGACGTGACTGGCTACTTGAAGTGTAACGAAGTTAGTGAATCTACTGGTCCGTTTGTAATCTTTGTTGCGTTGTGGTCTGTGTTCCTTTGTGTTGATCGGCTATCCCAACGGCTTTTGATTTTTGTAGCTTGTAGTCTCTGGCCTTGATTCGCATTGCGTTTCGGTCTGCCGTTCTCTAGTTGCGTTGGTTGCTTGTACCGCCCTATTTCCTCCACCGTGACGGTTAGTGGCCCTGCGTCCGCCGGTTGATTTGGTGATTTGATTGAGCCCCTCCATCCAATTGATGTGTCCGTTTGAATGACGCTTTCTGCTTCACTTATGACTTCCTCGTCTGGTCGCTTTTGCAGCTCTAAGCTCTGTGTTTCTGGCGTTCTCTCGCTATTTGTGGCTGGTAAATGGGATTGATTTCGATATGTTTGTTGATGGCTTCTTTGGTGGAGTTCCACGCCTCCATAAATTCGCGCTCTCGTTTGTTCTTGCTTAAGCCAGCCAGCGGAAGATTTTGGTCATCTGGGGTCTCACCAGGTAGGCGCCATTCCAGAGATTCCATCAACAATGTGTTTTACTTGAAGCCAGATCACATGGAACCTCACGCACGCACTCATATGTGAACAATCTTGCAGCCTCATCCAGGTTACGACACCTGAACAAAATTGATAAATATAAGTAGCGAACGAATGTCTAAAACTTCCGGTGGAAAGACGAGTTGCAAGCGCGAAAGCGCAGCCCACCAAATATGGATTCACAATTAGCGTACATATTGTTTGAATCTGAATAATTCTCAATTAATATCGAATAACGTGACCGCATATCAGTTTTTCCGAATAGCCAACACGTTTTGTATGTTACCGATATTTACGTGTGCACAAACGGAACGGAGTTTCTTTAAAAACGGCTGCGATATCTGATAGGCATTCTCCTTCGTTGATGTGCCTTTAGGTGAGATGTGATTATTGGGTATGTGAATTTTCTTGCGATGTTTAGGATGTCCCTTGTTTCATTTTGTAAATCAGTGGCTGTTTTGTGGCTGTTTGCAAGGACAAAATTGGTGATAGTGTACCACAAATGATGTGCACCAAATATGCCATATACGCAGCGGCCTGACTCTACACTATTGTACTTGTGACATGAATACTTCGGCTAAAGCATTTCAAATCCAACTAACTAGATTCCAAACACCTTGACGAGGCTTAGTAGTGAGCTCACTCAGGGGCAGTTGTGTTAGGTTTAGACGAGCTTGAATTCGCCCGCATATGAACTCCTTTTCCAAGAATTTTGCAAGGAGGTTTGAGAATGAAAATCAGTTGATGAGTGAAATAACCGGCTCAGGAATCATCATCCGAGTGGCTAGTCAATGAGTGTGACTAAGGGATATTGGCCCCGCTACTGGAGAATCAACGAGGCTCTGTCGAAGGACCACTTAATCACAGTGTTGAACAACCGCTATGGCCCAACGACCGAGGACCTCTTTGACAAACACGAGGTGTCGGATTCGAAATTGCTAATGGATTCTTTCGGGTTGCGCACTCCGGATGATTGTCAATCAGAATGAAATGGTTTTACCTGAATTCTCGAATATTTCGCAAAGATCGAATGACAAAATCGGACACTCATTTAACTAGTACTGCTAAAATTCACACTTCGTATAACAAAATCGTTTGTTGACATTCTTCGGGGATTCCTCAAATCTTCGCCAAGGCGCCGAAATCTCTGGAGATCATTTTCACGCTGTTGTTTGCAATGGTGGATATAGTGTGTCTCACTTAGATACTTGATGATGATTCTATCATGATTATTGCCTGTAGTTTATAGTTGAACACCAACTACCTCTTTACGGAAATTCGATACTGGATGTTACCTCAGAAATGGTGATGAAATCTAGGCTTCCCATTCCGTGCCATGCACTTTTAGTCCGTAAAACAAAAGGATGTGCGAACTCTGCACAAAACAAAGTAGATTTACGTCATTGGTTCATAAAATTCTCCAATCTGATTCCTACATATCGAGATTACTTTCGTCTAAGCCACCAATCATTAAAAATTCACTTAGATTCAGAGCTACTTTAAATGTCGACCATCCGGTATTCCCACATCCATTATTTGGAACCTAGAAGAATGGGCTTCATAATGGATGGTGCATCCTGTTGGTCCAACTTACAAAAAGCGAGCAACCCAAATTTAGTTGAACATCTAAATGACTGGAATATTCTGCACTGAAAAATGCTTCATCCTACCAAACACACAATTTCCTTCAAGTGAGGAAATTCATTTGTACCATGGACAATATTGCGGTATTTGCATTCGGAATAAGTCAGTCTCACATCGGCCCAAGACAAACGCTTGATAATTACAACATGAAGTCACCGTGTGACAAACCAACTGTTGTTTGGTGTTTGATACTCGGTAGTTGCTTTTGTTTGATCAAAACGAGATACTACCATCAACTGTGTCGTTGCTAATTCATTCGGTTAATCTTTTCTGCAACTCTCTATTTATATTGGCATCTGCTTTTAAATACCTGTAGCACAACTAATCAAGCTACCCAGAGAAGACGACCAGATTGTCTGTAACTCGAGCTAATCATTTTCGAAGTTGCAGATATCTTGTTCATGTAAGTCCTTGGGCACGTCGATAAATGCATTTAATTTTTATGAAGAAGCGTTTTACACGAGCTAGCAATGGATGCATATCTATCCTAGTCTTTGAGCGTTCATCCAATAAACCGCCAAGAACACATCAACAGCACTGAAAACTAGAATTGTCGTGGCCAAACCGCTTGGTGCACTATGTCGTCCGATCGCAATATTCCTGATTTGACCGGATGTGTGTAGTTAGGGAGGATCCCATAATAATGCAAATCTCTTCATGTTGCTCACTTACCGCCTACAACTGACAGAATGATGATTTCCGAGTGCGTAAAATGTCTGATATTGTTCAAATAATCGAAAAAAATTAGTTGTACTATCCAGTACACTGCGGTTGAACATGAAGTCAAAATTCGATAATCATCAGGAATGAGTTCGAATTCCGACGGAGGCCTAAGTACTCCCCACTAACACTGCAAGTCGTGTAACTAAGCGAGTCATGTCCGTCGCATAGATGTCCCAAGAGGATATTCCTACCGGCCGAATTCTGTCCCCGACCAAGCAGCTCTTCTGGAATCAGGTTTTCTAGAAATGGAGACCATCTGAAATAAACTGAATACTTCTGCAGCGCATAACGGAATGCCTTGCACCTGTTACGTTTAGAGTGCTGCTTCAATGTTACGTACAATCAATCCAACCCAACACTCATGCTTACGTTTGAACCCAACGGTTCGTTCATCTGCTCACCAACCTCGCGTCAGCTTGATTTTCAAGGCCACTTTGTTCTATGCTGATTTGTCCAACTTCATGAATCAAACTCGATTTGATGGCTATCACCATGCTTTGGAAATTTAGTGTGTATAAATTTCCATTCAACTGAGTCAAGTTGTTGAGTATCGTCTTCCGAGGGAGGATCGCATCAGAGGACAAACCAACGAATAATTACCCAGATAGATATGGCCGTCTCGTGCCACCAACAGCGGTCTTGCGTCAAATCTATCGCCTTCGTAGTGTGGCTGCTAACCCTGCCACACAGAAGAAGGACAGAGTCGTTTCACGTCACTGAACTGAATGGGCCATCGCCTCCAATGCGCGGTGAATGACACAATGTTCATTTACACATGTTCTCAGGCTCATACACGCGATCGCCTGTATTATGTCTGAATTCAAAAACCAGGACTTGTTATGGACTCGCAAGCTTCCTGCTTACCATTCACCGATGAAACGGTGCGCCGAAGGGGATAGAGAATATCTTGGGTTCCAGCTACCGCCCGCTTACATAATGGTCGAGTGCCCTCTGTTGATGTCAGTATTTCGATATCTGCATTCGTGTACCCTCTTGTTCAACTGCAATCCGTGGTCTGCATTCGTGTACCCTCTTGTTCAACTGCATACAATCCGTGGTCTTCTTGACAGCCGGTCCAAAGAACTAGTACCGTGATCGCTGATCAATTCTATATTCCAAGGCATTGCACTAGCGTTTCAGTCCTCAAACTTTCCATCTGCCCACTGTCTGTTCTATTGGCATACATACGTGTAGATCACCAAGTTGCGTTACAGCGAGAATGGCCTCAAAATTTCACTATTTGTACTGCGTTGGAGCGGCGGTCCGAAGATATAAAACAGGATAACCAGGTGGAGAATGTGAAGCCTGGATTATGGATTATGTAGGATTTAACATTTGCACGCCTCGGTGTTTGTTGATGACTTTAAGGCGAATTGTGCATGAATGAGGGCAGAAAGGTTCTACTTGACGAATAGCCCACAGCAATGAAGTGTAAGCTAACGGGAACTTTTGCCGACTTCAGTTCTCCCACAGGAGCAATATCTCACGTGAGTGGAACGAGCAGCATTGAAGTGAAAATAGCATGAAGATATGGAATTTGGAAGAGTTTGTAAATTCAGAACAAATATCTCGGATTGATGAATTTTCTTTTTCGAGAGGATCGGTTAACGAATCGCGTTTTGTTTTGTGAACAATGAAGCATGCACTGCTAACAAACTGAAGCTTACCACATTCGAAATACTCAAGTAGAAGTCTGAATTGTGAGTGTCAAACAAACTGACGGTATAAGCAATGAAGAGAAATTCCAAGTCAGGTAATGAAATGTTTAGACTGAAAATACCGAAAAATCAATGTCACATAAAACCCAGGACAAACCGGCTGAATCAGGAAAAGCTTACATTTGATGTTAACAAAACAGCGGTTAACTAAAGAACAAACTTTCCAAGCGATGCTTATATTTCGAATAACGCCGTCTCTACTAATCAACAGGTGAACGCTGAAAATATTGGGGAAAATACTGTCTTGGTATTTTATGCTCCCTTCTGAATATTGTTAAGGGGACTCGAGCTTCGTCCTAATTAGATGTCATCTGCAATGCATATGCACGGTGTCTTGAATACACGAAAATTGATACGCGAGACAAACTTAGTTCAATTACTTCGCCGGGGTGTGCAAGATGCATCTGAATATGTAAGTCCTGACTTTCGGCTCCGAAGTTCCTATGCGTACGGGGAAACTCCAGGTTAGCATACAGTTGGTGGCGGTCATCAATTTGGAATATGTC